ACAGTAGCTGCCAACACTGATGTGACCTGATGATGGAACTGTACAGTAGCTGCCAACACTGATGTGTGATGATGGTGGAACTGTACAGTAGCTGCCAACACTGACGTGTCCTGATGGTGGAACTGTACAGTAGCTGCCAACACTGACGTGTCCTGATGGTGGAACTGTACAGTAGCTGCCAACACTGACGTGTCCTGATGGTGGAACTGTACAGTAGCTGCCAACACTGACGTTTGCTAATGGTGGAACTGTACAGTAGCTGCCAACACTGACGTGTCGTGATGGTGGAACTGTACAGTAGCTGCCAACACTGATGTGTCCTGATGGTGGAACTGTACAGTAGCTGCCAACACTGACGTGTCCTGATGGTGGAACTGTACAGTAGCTGCCAACACTGACGTGACCTGTTGGTGGAACTGTACAGTAGCTGCTGCCAACACTGACGTGTCCTGATGGTGGAACTGTACAGTAGCTGCCAACACTGACGTGTCCTGTTGGTGGAACTGTACAGTAGCTGCCAACACTGATGTGTCCTGATGGTGGAACTGTACAGTAGCTGCCAACACTGACGTGTCCTGTTGGTGGAACTGTACAGTAGCTGCCAACACTGACGTGTCGTGATAGTGGAACTGTACAGTAGCTGCCAACACTGACGTTTGCTAATGGTAGAACTGTACAGTAGCTGCCAACACTGACGTGTCCTGATGGTGGAACTGTACAGTAGCTGCCAACACTGACGTGTCCTGATGGTGGAACTGTACAGTAGCTGCCAACACTGACGTGTCCTGATGGTGGAACTGTACAGTAGCTGCCAACACTGACGTGTCCTGATGGTGGAACTGTACAGTAGCTGCCAACACTGACGTGTCCTGTTGGTGGAACTGTACAGTAGCTGCCAACACTGATGTGTGATGATGGTGGAACTGTACAGTAGCTGCCAACACTGACGTGTCCTGTTGGTGGAACTGTACAGTAGCTGCCAACACTGATGTATGATGATGGTGGAACTGTACAGTAGCTGCCAACACTGACGTGTCCTGATGGTGGAACTGTACAGTAGCTGCCAACACTGACGTGTCCTGATGGTGGAACTGTACAGTAGCTGCCAACACTGACGTGTCCTGATGGTGGAACTGTACAGTAGCTGCCAACACTGACGTGTGATGATGGTGGAACTGTACAGTAGCTGCCAACACTGACGTGTCCTGTTGGTGGAACTGTACAGTAGCTGCCAACACTGATGTGTGATGATGGTGGAACTGTACAGTAGCTGCCAACACTGACGTGTCCTGTTGGTGGAACTGTACAGTAGCTGCCAATACTGATGTGTCCTGTTGGTGGAACTGTACAGTAGCTGCCAACACTGACGTGTCCTGATGGTGGAACTGTACAGTAGCTGCCAACACTGACGTGTCCTGATGGTGGAACTGTACAGTAGCTGCCAACACTGACTGACGTCCTGATGGTGGAACTGTACAGTAGCTGCCAACACTGACGTGTCCTGATGGTGGAACTGTACAGTAGCTGCCAACACTGACGTGTCCTGTTGGTGGAACTGTACAGTAGCTGCCAACACTGACGTGTCCTGATGGTGGAACTGTACAGTAGCTGCCAACACTGACGTGTCCTGATGGTGGAACTGTACAGTAGCTGCCAACACTGACGTGTCCTGATGGTGGAACTGTACAGTAGCTGCCAACAACACTGACGTGTCCTGTGTGGTGGAACTGTACAGTAGCTGCCAACACTGACGTGTCCTGTTGGTGGAACTGTACAGTAGCTGCCAACACTGCCAACACTGACGTGTCCTGTTGGTGGAACTGTACAGTAGCTGCCAACACTGACGTGTCCTGTTGGTGGAACTGTACAGTAGCTGCCAACACTGACGTGTCCTGATGGTGGAACTGTACAGTAGCTGCCAACACTGACGTGTCCTGATGGTGTAGCTGCCAACACTGATGGTGGAACTGTACAGTAGCTGCCAACACTGATGTGTCCTGATGGTGGAACTGTACAGTAGCTGCCAACACTGATGTGTCCTGATGATGTGGAACTGTACAGTAGCTGCCAACACTGACTGTGTCCTGATGGTGGAACTGTACAGTAGCTGCCAACACTGACGTGTCCTGATGGTGGAACTGTACAGTAGCTGCCAACACTGACGTGTCCTGATGGTGGAACTGTACAGTAGCTGCCAACACTGACGTGTCCTGATGGTGGAACTGTACAGTAGCTGCCAACACTGACGTGTCCTGATGGTGGAACTGTACAGTAGCTGCCAACACTGACGTGTCCTGATGGTGGAACTGTACAGTAGCTGCCAACACTGACGTGTCCTGATGGTGGAACTGTACAGTAGCTGCCAACACTGACGTGTCCTGATGGTGGAACTGTACAGTAGCTGCCAACACTGACGTGTCCTGTTGGTGGAACTGTACAGTAGCTGCCAACACTGATGGTGTCCTGATGGTGGAACTGTGGTGTAACTGTACAGTAACACTGACGTGTCCTGTTGGTGGAACTGTACAGTAGCTGCCAACACTGACGTGTCCTGTTGGTGGAACTGTACAGTAGCTGCCAACACTGACGTGTCCTGATGGTGGAACTGTACAGTAGCTGCCAACACTGACGTGTCCTGATGGTGGAACTGTACAGTAGCTGCCAACACTGATGTGTCCTGATGGTGGAACTGTACAGTAGCTGCCAACACTGACGTGTCCTGTTGGTGGAACTGTACAGTAGCTGCCAACACTGACGTGTCCTGATGGTGGAACTGTACAGTAGCTGCCAACACTGACGTGTCCTGATGGTTGGAACTGTACGGTAGCTGCCAACACTGACGTGTCCTGTTGGTGGAACTGTACAGTAGCTGCCAACACTGACGTGTCCTGATGGTGGAACTGTACAGTAGCTGGCAACACTGACGTTTGCTAATGGTGGAACTGTATAGTAGCTGCCAACACTGACGTGTCGTGATGGTGGAACTGTACAGTAGCTGCCAACACTGACGTGTCGTGATAGTGGAACTGTACAGTAGCTGCCAACACTGACGTGTCGTGATAGTGGAACTGTATAGTAGCTGCCAAATTTCTATGACTGTGCCCTGTCCTGTCGGTACTCGTATTATGTAATGGTACTGTTATAGGTTGCTATACAGATGTGCTTTGATGGAGTGACTGTACAATAGTACTGGTACGATTCAGAATACTACCGGTATGTATTGTGATGGCAAATCTCTGCAGTTCTGCCGACTTAGGTAGAACAGGATTGTTGATGTAGCACAAGGGTATATATTATTCTGCATGGAGAGCGTTGTGTGTTGAAGTCAAGATACACTTCAGACAGCATTGTGCGATTGAGTCACTTCACTAATTCAACTTTCTATACTCTCTGAAAAGACTGACGTGTAACTTTGTGCTGCTTCAAAACGGCATAAACATTCTGCTACTTCAACACACAATGCTCTCTTTGGAAACTGACATTAAAACTGTACTCCTTTGAATACACAATGCTCTCAATGACTAAGCGAGATTAACTTTCAGTTGCTTGAACACACAACACATTCTGTAAATTTGAGGTACTTCAATTTGTCCTACTTGAACAGATAAGCCTGATGACTGGTATCTAATTAAATGTTTCTTCAACTCTTAATGGTCCTTTTGATGAATGAAATATTCAATACGCAACCTTTTTACTTATAATTACTGTAAGGTACCGTTATGGTACGGCAGCACACATTATAATTACTGTAAGGTACCGTTATGGTACGGCAGCACACATTATACTTACTGTAAGGTACCGTTATGGTACGGCAGCACACATTATAATCACTGTAAGGTACCGTTATGGTACGGCAGCACACATTATAATTACTGTAAGGTACCGTTATGGTACGGCAGCACACATTATAATACGGCAGCACACATTATAATCACTTCTGTAAGGTACCGTTATGGTACGGCAGCACACATTATACTTACTGTAAGGTACCGTTATGGTACGGCAGCACACATTATACCTACTGTAAGGTACCGTTATGGTACGGCAGCACACATTATAATTACTGTAAGGTACTGTTATGGTACGGCAGCACACAGTACTCTCAGTGATGACTGGTGTCAGCATAATGTTGTTTCAAGACACAACGCTCTCAAGGACGACTGGCGTGTGACCTATATCCTTTGACATCAAACGCTGTGGGAAGACCAAAGATTACCTTTGAAATACTTCCGCAATCAACGCTCTTTATGATGACTGGTGATACACTTCATGCCCCTTCAACGGGCATTGTATAGTGACTAAAAGTAATGTTACTACCACTCAACACAGAACGCTCTTTTATGATGACTGACGCTTAACAATGCTACTTCAAGATTCGGTGTTCTCTATGACAAATGACGTGTAATTTTAAAATATTTCATCACTTAGCGTTTTGTATGATGAATAATACCGAGCACAACACACTACGCTCTGTATGATGGACGTCGTGTCAGTGTGTGCTATGCCGAAGTAGAATAAGCTTCATATTATGTCTAATATAGAGGTTTGTGTGTTGAGGTAACATAACGCTACATATCAGACGTAGGAGAGAGCGTTCAGCATTGATGTTAAATTCAGTTATTCTTCAGTCATCATAGTGAGTGAGTGAGTGAGTTAGGTTTTATGCCGCTTTTAGCAATATCATGTCGGGGGACACCAGAAATGAGCTTCACACATTGTACCCATTTGGACAGACATCATAGAGAGCGCTCGCTATGTGTGGAAGTAGAATAAAGGTAATGCCTTTTATCATAGAGAGCGTTGTGTGTATAAAGTGGCATCGTTTTAATGTTGGACATCTGAAAGAGCATTGTACCTTGAGGTAGCATGTTGTAACGTGTCATTCATAATAACGAGCGCAGTGTCCATGTAGCATTATTGTTATGTGAACATTGCATGTATATGAAATATTATAAAATAACCAATCAATGAAATAATCTCTTACGAAAACAATCTTGTTAAAAATATAATTTATCCAATACCATACACAAACTACTTTGACTACATACATGTACGTCAGCATATCAAGCATAGAGTCATTGTTGTGTTCCACAATACACCCTAATGACACCAACAACCAGATCGTGTAGCAGCAAGTGGCAATACTAGTGGCTTCACAGCCAGACAGTGTCAAATACAACCAGTTTCACTCGGGGGGAATATCAGAGCGCTGGTTCAATATCTGGCAGAAAAACTCATGGTCATCAATCATGTAGGAGAGCTTCTTGGATAATGCTGCTCATCGCCTCGTTCACATTAATTCTCTACTCAGGTGCCTAGCTAGTTATTTCCTCGCCTTGCTTGCAACTGGGAAGTGTGTCTACATATCTGTTTATCTCTAGACCCGTTCTGATTATACTTCTCTCTGATTGCTTTGGCAGCTCAGGGCACCACTTAAACATAAATAGTTCATCAGTTATTTTCCATACTGTTAGGTATAAAACTATATTTACTTGCACGTTGAGCTGAACGCTTGTGCACGTCAATGAATTTAATTTTCCTCAAGTGCAATACATGCTTTATAGCAGTTTTCATCATGATTGGGGACATGTCAAAAGGTTTTGCCTCTACGTCCACCATAAAACACACACTCTCCTTCAGTGAAGGCTATTGCCTCTCAGTTCATCTCGCTGGCAAGTCTCAGCCTGCCGCCTGCATATATGAATGCATCTCAAAGTGTTTCAACTTGAAAGGTGGAGAACATGTGGTTTGAAATTACTAACTGGAACAATCTGCCGTGAATGGCGTGGTTTCATCAATATCTGATCCTGAATCACACCTAATCAATATAAGCGGGACATCTGGTACGGTATATGTGGTCTCTTTAACTCTCTTATGATTCCTGCTGTTCGTAATAACAGAGTTAACATATTCTTCATCATCGGCAAAGCTACTTTCGTCTAAACACGTGCTGGAGTTTTGTCTCCGATGTATCAAGGAATCGCCTCTGTGAAGACATTGATCAGGCAGGAGAGATTCCCGTGTGTCATTCAAGGTCTTCACTGTCCCACTTTCCGTCTTACAGCTGCTGTCATCACCACTATCCTCACAGTAGGTTTTCCTCTTCATCTGGAATATTCGCAAGCTATGGAGGGGGGAGTCGGGGGTACCCCTGGAAAGAATGTTTGAGGCACTGTGGTACTCCTGAGGGACTGCCTTTTTGGCGGAAGACGGTCCCTTGAGGGACACTGGCCTGTAGATCCTGGAGGCCTGACGATGCACCTCGGTGGTAGAATGACTGCGGCTCACATCCATCGACGACGATCGTTCACTCTTCTGCTGGAAAAGTCTTGGACGCCGCCGGAACTGACACAACAGTATACGTTTGAAAGCACGTTGGAACTCCCTGCTGGAGCACGCATAGATAATTGGATTCATGAGAGAGTTGCAGTAACCAAGCCAGAATATGATCTTGAAGAAAATCTCCGGAATCTGGCAGTGCGGGCACAACGAACCTGAAACACGAGGAACAATATTAGTGTATGATCAGTTTGGGCATTTGTCAAAAATATAATAAACGTTAAGTGGTTGGAGTTCTTAACTCCGGAATTTCTTGTTCCAAAGAATGTAAAGTTGAATACCCATGTTATAGGCTACTACTCAACATACATCTATACGGCAATGAAAACTGGGTAGGTTTAAAGATGCGAGTCAGATACAATTAGAAAATACATCGTTTGTACTTGTCTCTACTTTAGTCAGCAGTATCCATTGGAGATCATTTTAATAATAGAGCGCCCCCTGTTGCCCATGTTCTCCATCACGCTCTGACTAGTCATATCACGATTCATATATTTTACTTGGCACACGTTGCAACTTGCTATCATTTCGATGATGCCTTTGAAACACTGACCCGCCATCTGAGACGTTTCCTTGTCGTCACAGGAAGATGGGCGAACGTTGTAATATCAACAGTTTTATAACACTAACAGTTATCGTCAAAAGAACGGTTAAAGTTGTTCGTCAAGAAGCTCAGTAAAAAGATAATGGCTTCAAACAAGTATGGTTGACCAGGCATGTGTGCTGTGATTACCACAGTGAAATGTGTGGACTCACGGACCGAGGTATGGTTCCATATCAAAGTTTAGACGATGACATTTCAATGGGGTCTTGTGAATGGTAATTATCTAAGCGTGTGTTCTCTACGCAGTATGCCTCTCGTGTAGAAGTACACTGAGATTGCGTGTGTTATCTTTAGACTGTACGTATTTTGCCTGTGTTTCCCAACTCCCGCACGCCCTGAATTTTCATTCCGACGTAAAGTAATAATAAAAGGTTTTCGTATCTCAATTTCTCCGCTGTGCTCACCATTGCACACTCGTAAATAACAGGTCAGCTTAACCTTGATCTTTCTTCACCAACATTTATCAAAAAATGTTTCCTATGTGAATTAACTCGTTCTGTATTATCTATCAATTTATAGTTTATTACAAATTGATCTCGATTCTAAAGTTTCATGAATTAAGATACCCAATTACTGAAAAATGCATTATGTATTTTTGTTTTTTAGCCAGCTCTCGTATTAGTTGAGGTAAGAACAGAGAATACATAAAGTATCCAGAGGACATTACACATACTGCATGTACGTTTAGGTGATTGTAAGACTCTCATCTATGGATGATATGTTGGACGTAGTTGAGACTGCCACGTCTCTATGAAGACGAGTAACTTCTTTGAGAGGCGTTTGGACGGATACCGATATATGGAGCAGGAGCGAGGGTTCTGTGTCGGTTCTGTCACTGGTATCAAGTAGGTCACAACAAGCTTCTCTTTATTAGTGGTACAGTGTCAGTACAGTGCTACTGTGATCACTGGCTTCATACATAATGTATTTCATGTGATACTTAGATACTCCAAGTAGGTCACAACAAGCTTCTCTTTATTAGTGGTACAGTGTCAGTACACTAGTAGGTCACAACAAGCTTCTCTTTATTAGTGGTACAGTGTCAGTACAGTGCTACTGTGATCACTGGCTTCATACATAATGTACTTTCATGTGATACTTAGATACTCCAAGTAGGTCACAACAAGCTTCTCTTTATTAGTGGTACAGTGTCAGTACAGTGCTACTGTGATCACTGGCTTCATACATAATGTACTTTCATGTGATACTTAGATACTCCAAGTAGGTCACAACAAGCTTCTCTTTATTAGTGGTACAGTGTCAGTACAGTGCTACTGTGATCACTGGCTTCATACATAATGTCTTTCATGTGATACTTAGATACTCCAAGTAGGTCACAACAAGCTTCTCTTTATGTATGTATGTATGTATGTATGTATGTATGTATGTATGTATGTATGTATGTATGTATGTATGTATGTATGTATGTATGTATGTATGTATGTGTGTGTGTGTGTGTGTATGTATGTATGTATGTATGTATGTATGTATGTATGTATGTATGTGTGTGTGTGTGTGTGTGTGTGTGTGTGTGTGTGTGTATGTGTGTGTGTGTGTGTGTGTGTGTGTGTGTGTGTATGTATGCATGCATGCACGTATATATGTATCTATCTAGGTGAACGCATAATTTAATTCAGTATGTTTTAGGCCTAGGAATTGCAGAGAAAACCCACTATTCCACTACGGCAAATGCGCGGGTCATTAACAATCTATTCCGAAACTTTAGAGGGTTCAGCACACGGTCTTTGAAGTCTTAATTAAGATATGACGTCAGACCTACTGGAAATGCTTCCAAAGTGGATACCCAACCAAGATGAATATCAAAGATGACTTTATCAAGAATCTGTGGGGTCGACATGGTAATCAGTCTCCGAGGTGACATTACAATACTGCAGGATGAAGAAGGAATCTTTTGGAAACTTAGCCCACGCCTTTGAGAGGGACAAGTTCTTGACAACCAGTAAACAGTGAACAATTATCACTATGCTGTTACCTTTCGTGAATTATGTCAATCCGAGACGTGAAGTAAATGAATCTATTGTGTGATTGTGTGTGGCAAATCATTACCTATGTGTTACAAGCATCCGTCGGTCCCTGACAGTGTTCAATATCATATCTAATAAACTTGATGTTCGTAACGGAATCGTAATCATGTTTTACATAACTTGTCGTAGACATTCACTTGAATACAGCAACACACAATGTCTTCCTTATACTTCTCATTATTTCAGTAAATGTTGTTTCAGTATATTATATTTTTTTCAATGCAGACATATAAACAGAAAGACAGACTGGTAGTTCTATTCAATAAAGCATTAGCAAGTGTGTTTGCTCATCATGATAGAAATATATATATATGTTAATAGTTATATATTTGAAGCATACGTTGTTCCTCAATACACAACGGAATAAGAATCATGTGCAACTCATCTCCAACAGCCACACAGACCTTTCAGTTTCCATGAAATACAATAAGTGACATTTATAAATGGTATTTTCATATCTGCGAGTCGCTGTACCAAGAATATAATTGAAACATCTAAGTCTGGAATAAGACCTGAGGAAGGAACACGATTGATTCAAAACCTTTCCATTTAGATAGGGTGTAATCTGATTGTAGTAAACCAAGTACGTTTCTCATGCAAGTTGATTATTCCAGTACATCTTGTGTATTGATTACATGTTCCACCTTGTATTTCATATTTGTTTACAATTTATGGCTGCTTTCCTCATAAAACCTAACACCATCAGACTTTAGATTATATAATGTTATACACCAACACAGAAGGACAACAGCTAAGACACGATTTGTTGAATAGTGGTATTACACCTGATCTCAATGTAATCAACCAACTGATATTGAACACCGTAGACTTAGAGAGTATTAGAGATGTTCTGTCCAGATCGCAAAACAGATCACACAAAGCCGAAGTCAATCAAACGTTTTAAGAAAACAATACATTTCGGGCTCTCTTTGGAGGACAGGGTTAGTTAAGGCTTTCAAAAGTTATATATTATTTTTCTGTATAAATGCTTGTTCGTTCTTTGCATGTTCTTTTAAGTCTATATATTTCAGCTACATTAACGGCTATTTTCAACGTGGGTGACATTTTGGTCAAATTAAACTGTCAAGTGTATGCTTTGTTTTGCCCTAGGTTTATATCGCAATAAGTCTGTGAATAAGTCTGAACCAGTCATCACCGGCAACGTTACATGCAGTCTGTATGAGATGACATGCAGTCTGTATGAGATGACATGCAGTCTGTATGAGATGACATGCAGTCTGTATGAGATGACATGCACTCTGTATGAGATGACATGCAGTCTGTATGAGATGACATGCAGTCTGTATGAGATGACATGCAGTCTGTATGAGATGACATGCACTCTGTATGAGATGACATGCAGTCTGTATGAGATGACATGCAGTCCGTATGAGATGACACGCAGTCTGTATGAGATGACATGCAGTCTGTATGAGATGACATGCAGTCTGTATGAGATGACATGCAGTCTGTATGAGATGACATGCATGAGATGACATGCAGTCTGTATGAGATGACACGCAGTCAACTACGTCACTTAGCCTGACAATACGCATTATGTCCTTCGTCCCCATTTTAGAAAAGCATAGGATTACTGGGGAGATCTTAACCGGACTCGCTTATGGATAAATTTTCTCAATGTCTCCTCTGCTTTCTTCCATGTTGCACCGAAATGTCACTCACAACAAAGTTGTGTCATAATCCGACGTGAGGGGGAGACAGGCGACAGCAGGTCTCAACAGTACAACATTTTGTGTATTTCCTCTGGGAGAGACTTCATTCTTCAAATGAATCTAAAACTCCGCATGCCATTCATTCCGCATTTCAACATGAGGATATTTGAAGGGCAATTGAAATGCGCAAAGTAATAATCATTATTGAACCTATTGCTGCTGCACTTGATGCCATTCTAAATGCTGCCTCACCGACACATGACCAGTATATGTTGGAATGTGTTAAATAAGAAAACCTGATTAGTTCCTCATATATGTCAGCGTGTGAATCACTGATGTATATTCCACAGCAGATATATTATCTGTGTATAGGGTGGGACCTGAATCTAATTCGTATTCTGTGAGTGAGTTTGTTTTTACGCCGCTTTTAGCAATATTCCAGCAATATCACGGCGGGGGACACCAGAAATGGGCTTAAAACATTGTACCCAAATTCGTATTCAAAATTTGCAAAGGATCACCACTTTCAAAGGTAATACACCAAAATCTGAGCTGAGATAGCAAACCAACATTGTTTAATGACCAAAACTGTGTCAGCATTTGAAACAAAATAAAAAAGGAATCAACAGGTGACCAATACTCAGGTGATCACGTGTCAAAATGAGCATATCTGACCAACACTGAAACGTCAAAACATCACGAAAACAAATTCTTTCTCCTGAACAGTCAGTGAAGTGTATGTTATCTACGTGTTTTTCAAGGAACAAAGTTCAGCTCTTCATTGTGAGTGTTGCCAAGTTCCTGAGATGAGGGAAGAATAGGGCGCCATGAAA